TTTTTAATCCATCCGGGGGCCCCTCGCCCCTCTTTTCCCTTTTCTCTTTTGTTTTTCACACCGCTCTGCTCCCTGAGTCTTGTCATTTCTCTCTTTCTTGCCTCTTCTTTCTTTGCCCTTTTTTTCCTACTTTGCTTCAGTGCTGAGAAGGAATGTCCTGCCTCCCCTCCTGGGCAGAAAGCTCCTTGGGTAGGGTCCCCTGCTGGGACTTGATTCATGATTGTTGAATGAATAATCAAATGTGCAAAGGAATGAAGGAATGAATGAATGAATGAAGACTTCCCCCCAAACCCACTATCTTACATTTTTTATACCATAACCACCCATTCTGGAAGGAAGTCTGTGGCTGGACTTTTTGGTCTCCTGACTTCTGACCAAGCCAACACTTTCTGAAACGAAACTGGACATATAGCCAGAAAAGGCATTCTTGCAATTATTAAAAAGAAGAAGAAGAAAGAAAGAAAGAAAAACTGGCTATGTAAACCTCTCTTTTGAACCATTAACATTTCTTGTTGGCGTGGCAGGGTTTGCCGTGTCTGGACCTTAGCATTTCTGAATCTTTGATGACTGGAAGCAGAGATAAAACAGAACGTCTCGAACTGCCAGAAATGTGGCTTTGGGGCACCGAAAGTGACGTGCAAATGGACATCATTGTCCTTGGGCGAGCCACAGATATTGGTGAAATAATCCAAAGCCAATAACGCAGGTGGGGATATTGTAAAAAAATTAGAACTTACCAAAGCCATACACTCAGACAAGCACAACATGGCAGTTGAAGTGAGCGAGTATTTTCGATTAGCGATCCGTGTCCACACACCCACCCTCGTCCCCTTCCCAGCACCTCTCGGTCTCCCTGCCCCACCAGTAGGGCTGTGTTTGTTTCCAGAGGACACCTGATGGTCCCTGGCTGCACCCACGCTCAGGCACCTCCCCAGCTCTGCTCCCCGACCTAGATGGTGGGGAACCCATCCCTAGCCCCTGGTGTGAGGTGTCTAGGAGCCCCCCTTGCCTTCCTGGCTGCCACTTGTGTCTCTGTCCTTGAAATCGGCTCCTTGACAAGTCCGTGTCTCCCTGTGCCCCACCCTGAGTCCCTTCGTCCCTCCCATTTCACCTTCCTTCTGACCAAGGGCCAACTCTGCCCCACGTCTTGCGGGTGGAGAAATCCCGACAGCTGGCTCTCCTCCTCCTCTGGACTCTGACTTGGGAAGGAGCATGGCTGGCTTTCCGTGGCCCTTTGAGAAAGGCCGTAATCTGTGGTGGGCTGGGGAGGAAGGGCGTGCTTCCTCTGGGCTGCGGCTGATGTTGTAATGAGCTTCTGAGGTTTTTGTGACTCTTTGTAACCCATTCGTTCATTCACAGTCATTTCTTAAGGCCCTGGTGAGTGCAAGGCTGCTGCTAGGGGCTGGGGCACCGAGACAAGTACCACGTGGACTCTGTCCTCGCGGAGCTCGCAGTCTGAGGGTGGCCGGGAAAGTAGATATTGATGAAACAGTGTGACAGGTGACACTGGACATTGCTCAGGGGGTGGTGGAGCTCAGAGGCCGGGCCACTAACTCTGCCCAAGCGTGGGGGAAGTCTTCAAGGAGGAGATGGCATTGGAGCTGAGCCTGGAAGGATGAGGCAGATGGGGGAAGAAAGGCCGACATTAGGCTCTGGACCCCATGGGCTTAGGCACCTTGCAAGGTGGGAGTGGGAGACCTGGAGTTGCAGATTTATTTTTTATTCCATTGCATTTTGGTGCTGAAAGGGGCGGTTTTTCAGGAGAGCTGACCCTGGGGTAGTGGATGGAGAAGAGCTGTGAAAGACCGCCTGGAACTTTTCCATCCTCGACATAGATGTTTCGAGGCCCCCAGGCTCCCTCGGAGCCCAGGCCACCTTCTCAGGGCATTGGTGTCACACAAGGCGTGCCTGCATCACAAGTGGGCCTGGCGTCCCCTCTGGGCACATGAATTTCAAAAAGGTGCCCTTCCTTGCCCCAATCTGTCAGACCCTCCTGCTTGGCAAAGGGTCTTTCTTATAGCAAATCCGTGTTTGTGTGTGTGTGTGTGTGTGTGTGTGTGTGTGTGTGTGTGTGTGTCTGGGCTGCGCACACACACATACAGGGCTCTGTGACCTCGCCCCCTCGGCTTTCGATGGAGGTTTTCTCCTCTAAGAACCTGATGTTCGCGAGGCCTCCTGGGCCCCTTTGCCCTCAGACTCAGGGTTGTTTATGAGAAAAATGAACACGCAATTCAATCTTTTGGATATTGGCTTAATTATTTTTTTTTAAAGAAAGAGATCTAAATGTTTCCCTTTGACTCTTTTAGAAACACAAACCAGGAAACTGCAAGCAGTGGTGTGCTGCTTGCGAGAGAGGATTGAACGTATCTCTTCCTAACTCCATGTTCAGTAACCCTACGTGGGTAGCTGGAAATCAGGCACGGCGGGTATTTATACCACAGAAACTGGCAAAAGCTAAAGTCAAGTCTCCTCTCCCCCCACCCCCCAATCCCCACCCTCTAGGCACCTTGTAGTCCCAGCTACTAGGGAGGCTGAGGCAGGAGGATCGCCTGAGGCCAGGAGTTCAAGGCTGCAGTGTGCTAGGGTGGTGCCTGTGAATCGCCACTGCACTCCAGCCTGGGCAAGATAGTGAGGTCCCATCTCTTAAAAAAGAAAAAAGAAAAGAAAAGAAAAAGAAAGTCGTGAGGACAAATGAGTTGATTCAGATCCCGGTCAGCTCTGATGATGTGAGCTGCACAGTGGCGGGGGCCAGGTCTGTCCTGTGTGTCACAGGGTGCTTGAGAGCTAGCACAGCCCCCACACAGCAGGTGCCCGTGCCTATGTGCGGAGTGAGCCGATGAATAGGGTACGGGGTGGTGCTGTGCTTTTGTGTGAGTTTTCTCATTTAAATAGGTATTTTCCTTGTAAGACTCTGATTAGGCTTGGTAAATTGTAAAGTGATGTATAAAGTTGCATCAGTCCTTGGGTTAAGCTGAGTGAACCTCAGTTTCCCCACTCATGAAGTGAACGGTGGGACAACTTGACTTCTTGACTCCCTTGCAGCTCTCAGCCTGATGGGTCTGAGTCTCTGAAGCTGTGGCCCGTCTCGGTGCTCATAAAGCTCACACCTGGGCCGCGCTCACCTAGTGGGCACCTACCAAGACCACCCGGACCTCTTACCCCACCCACTCCTTCCAGCTCTTTTCCTGAGGAGCAGCAAGTTCCCTGATCTGCCTGGGATGGAAGGAAGGGAGGAAGAGCGGGAGGAGGTGCGGAACTCCCTGCAAAGCATCGAGCTCAATTCAGGAGTTGGGGGCGGAGGGGGGCGCGTTGAGGGTGCCTCGGGGCTGGAGCGGTCGTCCTCCCTGGCAGGAGAGGAAGGCCAAGGCCAAAGTCCTCCTGTTGCCCCTCCCCATGAGAACCAGGAGGGGTGTATATGGGGGGAATTCGGAGGTAAGTGCTCTCTGAGCAGCCCTCAGAGGGGGCGTGGGAAATTCACCCCAACCCCAGTGTCCCCAGGCCCACTGGCCACCTGAGCATTGGTGTCCCCCACTTCCCCTGTTCCCTCCCTCTCTAGTGGGGGCAAAAGCAAGAAAAAGCATCTGGAGCAGGAAGACACAAGGGAAGCCAGGATGGGATGGGGGCAGCCTGGACTCTGGGGCCAGCAGAGGGCAAGGAGAGGCCCGTGCGGTGAAGGGCAGGGGTGGCACTGAGGCTGAGAGGATGAAGGTGGGGACACCAGGGGTCCATATGGCCAGCACTGCAGTCAGCTGCCTCTGTGGGGGTCTCCACTCTGCCCACAGCATCCTCCACAGCGGGAGGGAGCTGAGGGACCCAGTGGAGATTTTCTGACAAGAAATAGGCCATCCTGGGGGCGTGGGGCCGGGAGATGGGGAGCAGAAAGAAACGTGCCGTCCTTCCTTCTCATGCTCAAGTTTATACACATGGGTTAGGGCAGAGTCTGAAGGGTTAGGAGAGGCTGAAAATGCCCAGGAGTCTCTGTCACAAGAAAAACAACAAAAAAGGAGGTGGGGCTGCGAGGAAAGACGGGCTCACGTGCTTTAAGTGGCTCCTCGGTCCACACGCTTCGTGCACATACTTTGTCTCCCTTAATTCTCAGGACAGCCCCGAGTTGTGGTTCTCGGGTAGGCGTGGTGGCACAGGGGAGACAGCAGAGCATCTCACATTGCCATTTTAAGAAAAGCCTTTTCATCTACAATTTCAGTTTCTTCATCCCACGGTGTTGTGGCAGCTGTTTCTGTCTTTCCACTTCACAGACAAGACACTGAGGCCCAGATGACTCGCCTATGGTTACCCAGCAAGTCAGGGGCAGAACTAGGATCAGAACCCGGTCTCCTGCCTCTGAGGTCCTGTAGGAGGTTTCTGCGGGGACAGAGATAGGATGTAAGCCTGGCTCCAGGTCCTGAGCCCTGCTGGGGCCTCCACACGGGAGGGGAGGGAGGATGCGGTGAGCAAGGTGCCAAGGTCAGCCTGTCCACCTGCAGGCACTTGCAGAGCGCCCCCCGTGGGTCAGGTTCAGCACAGAATGCTCACAATCTAACGCCACCTCCACCCTCCAAACAGACCCCTGTGTCCACACAGTGCGCTGAGTGCCGGGGAGGAGGGCACCTGGCCTGAGTGGGGGAGCGGAGGGGACTGGTCAGGACATGCTACTCAGGGGACGTGGCCCTCGAGCTGGATCTGGGAGGGTGAGCTAGACTAAGAGAGAAGGGGTGGAAGAACATTGTGCGTCATGGGAACAGCAGCCGTGAAGGCACAGAGGCAAGGGGAAGCACGGGCTCCCCTGTGTCCTGAGCCCCAGGAGCAGCCAGGCCTCCGCGTTGAGTAGTTTAATCTGCCTGCACCACACGCTGGTACAGGCCAGCGCCCTGCAGCTTCAACGTCACCGCCCAGGTCAGCGGGTTTGCTGCACACTGCTAACCCCTTCAGGCTCCCCGCGGAGGCCTCAGAGTCCTCTGGCCACGACGCGCTCCTGATGACAGGCTCTGCCTCGGTTTCAGAATCTCGGCGAAGGACCATCTTCGAATACCACCGCGTGGAGCTGGACCCCAGCAAGGTCACCAGCAGGTCAGCTGTGGAGTTCACCCCGCTGCCAAGTGAGTAGGGGTCATTCCCACCAATGGGGGGCATTCTACTGTCCTGGGAAGAGCTTTCGCCTCAAATAGACTGGGTTCAGGTCCCAGGCCCCCACCACCCCTGTAGGGGACGGCCACCCAACTTTTCTGGGCCTCCGTGTCTCGTGCGTGACCGGGGCCTAGTGCTACCTCCCTCCCAGAGCCGTGGGAAGGGTTAGAGCCACCGAGGTAGAGTTGGGCACATTGGTGGCAGCTCTGACACTGACCGGGACATCCCAGGCCTGGGGTGGGGTTTGGGCTCGATACAGGACAGCTGTTGCTCTCCACACATACTTGAAACCCAGGAAAGCTGCGCCTCTGAGAACACCTGGCCTGAGCCCCCAGGACGGGCAGTCCAGGAACTGCATGGGCCCGTGGTTTGTTGCTGTACTTTCCTTAGAGGAGGTGACGCTGGAGGCCACAGAGGGCAATGAAGGGATTTAGCGAGCAGCCTCCAGGATCCATGGGGCTCTGGCCCTCTGTACCCCTCTCACCTAGAGTTCAAGGCCAGGCCGAGGACCCACCTGCTGCTGTGGATGCACAGGATCGGGGGTGGATGCTCTCCAGGATGTGGTCGGGACAGCCAGGGAGAGTGCAGGAAGGAGGACAGCCTCTCCGTCCTTGTCTTTTTAGGAGGGTTTCAATTCCCCTTCCCGTCTGGTGAGGCCTCCCAGGCCCCCCACCCCCTGAAGCCAGGGCCTGCTCCTGCCTGTGGCTAGGACACTTTGCAGGTCACAGCCCCACCCCCAACACAATCGCCCTCCATCGAGGCAGCAGGCCTGAGCCCCAGGGCTTCCTCAAGGGCTGGTGAGAGCAAACCCCAAGTCCTAGGATAAAACTGCATCTAGGAGCAAGGACACCCAAGGGCAGGGCTGACTGCTCAGGCGAAAGCAGTGAAGTGTTCTGGGAACGCATTTCTGGGACACTGTCTGTACATTTAAGGCACTTCCCACCCTCCAGTGAATTTTGTGAGCATTTAATAGTGTTCAAGACGTCTGAAACACAGATGAGAAATAAAGGTCAGAGGTATTGCGAGTCCCCCATAAGGCTCCCTGGGGCTCTTCTGTGGCCAGTTTGGCTGGAGCCTTTTAAGGGGCCTCCAGAGTCACCAGGAACAGCCAGGCCAGGCCAGTGCCCGTGTGAGTGCAGCTGGCGGTGGAGCGCAGGGCTGTCAAGGCTGTGATTCGAGCCCCCCGAAAGTGCTCTGCATCCTGGTTTCTGCCTTACCATTGGGAGTGTTAGGTAGGGGTGAGGGGTGTGCAGGTGGCAGGGCAGGCCATAGGGGGATGTGGTCAAGGGGCAAGGGTCATGGGACCAGTAAAAACAGAGAAAAAAACACAACAGCAAGGACTCGAGGTTAGGGACTTTTCCAGACCTGGAGCATGCGCAGAAGCTAGGAGCTTATGACCAAAGGTAACCTTTCCCTTATTAACATAGTAAAACTCACACCCCTCAGTGCCACGACAGTTCCAGAGCCAGCCATGCAAGGACAGAAAATGGGAGGGTGCATGATTCCAGGAGCCTCCACCCACTTCCCCCAAAAGACACGAATAAGCCAAAGAACCAGGACAGCTCTCCCTAACCACTCCGGCCAGGAGGACATCTCCAGGTTATGTCCGGAGGGATGGGGGCTTATCTCCAAGCCTTCACATTCCTTGGTTGGTCCCTCCTGGCCCCTCTTCTAGCAGAGAGCCATGAAAAGGTGGCCTGGAGTGAGGGTGGGGGCTGCGGCAGGAGGAACCCACAGTGGGACCTCAAGGTCAAGGGCTCGGGCCCTGGGCTCAGACAGACCTCGGTTCAAACCCAGACCTGCCACTCTTAGCTCCATGGCTCTCTCCAAGCCTCAGTTCCCTCCTCTGTAAAATGGGGGTAACAAGAGCATCTATGTATCAATTGAATATACCATGTGCCGGCCCCGTTCTAGACCCCCTGGACACACAGGGAACAAAACAGCCAGAGAGCCCCTCCTCCTGCTCAGGGAAGTCCCTGCTCATTTCCTGCCTGTGGCTTTCCATCCGCCCTTCCAGAGCCTTCAACGCCAGGGTAGACAAAAGGACACAATGCCACCAACCACCAGTGCCTCCCAGAGTGACTGAAACGGCCACACTATGCCCACACAGCCTCTCTCCTACTCGCCGAGGGCTGGTCCCAGCTGCCGCTTGCTGGGACTCTGTACAATGCAGATGGGCTTCCTAATTAATGGATTGTAGCACAGTCACACGAAAGCTCACTTTAATGGAGAAATGCATGCAATATTTATTGAATGAAGGCGTGGTGGCTCACACCTGTAATCCTAGCACTCTGGGAGGCTGAGGCAGGAGGATCGCTTGAGCCCAGGAGTTTGAGGCTGACGCCACGGCACTCTAGCCCAGGTGACAGAATGAGACTCTGTCTCAAAAAAAAAAAAGTTATTGAACAAGTGGCCATTTTTTGTGGTTAGTTGTCACCTGCTGTCAAGGTGTCCTGTTGAGCTGCTTATTAGATGAGCTCTTCAGTGGCGCACATTTATTCTGGGTGAGCGCCTGTCTCTCTTTGCAATAAAATGCACGGGCTTTGTGACAACTACTTGCCACTGAGAGGTCACCTGGTGCACTTAAGTGAGTAGCACTGGTTTGCAAGTGAACAGCTTTTAAATGCAGCCCCCGTGCCTCCCGGTCTCTTTGCTCTCACTGCTCCTCTGCATGGCGGTGGCAGAGTCGTGCACGCCCCTCCTGCAAGCTGCTCCCACTGATTTCTGTGCTCTGACCCTGTCCTGCCCAGGCTGGGCCTCAGCTGTCACTCCCTCCTCGTTCCTACCATTTGCAGCCTTTCCACTTGGCGCAGCCCATTAGCAGTTCCGGCTGCAGTGGGACCGCGCCTGGGCCGCGCCCCTCCCAGCTCTACACAGGGACCCTTCTGCCTGGACTTCTCCTCCTCTGGGACAGCTGCTTGCTGGGCTCAGTGTCTGCCTCCTTTCAGTTTCTGCCCGAATGTCCTCTCCTCGAAGAGGCCTTGCTCAACCTCCCTGAGTAAAGCCCAGCCCCACTCTCATTCCGCCTCCCTGTCCTGGCCCACTGTCCTCTCTGGTCTGCTCGCCACAGAAACCCCCGTGTTGACTTATGTGTCCGTCTGTTTGGCCACCAGCTCCGCCAGACCGCGGCTCCGTGCTGGCAGTGCCTCTGTCCTTTCCTGCTCACCTCTGCGTCTCCAGCACTCGGGACAATGCCTGGGCCCTGGTGGACGCTCAAGAAATATTAATATTTGTTGAATAAATGAATAAGCGAGTGAACGAATACCCCACAGGTTTATTGAAAGGAATGAGTAACTCGGTGGTGAGAACAAGCAACCTTTGCCAGGCGCTCCTCCTGGGGCAGCGCAAAGAACAGCACTCTCTAGGTATCACCTCATTTCATCCTCATAGCAAGTCCCCGGGCAGGTGGCATCATGCTCCCCACTTTACAAATAAGGTAACTGAGCCACCAAGAGGCTAAGTAGCTTCCCAAGTAGGACTTCAGCATGGACGAGTAGAGACGATGGCACAGTCCCTGCACACTCTGAGAGGAGAGCTGGGGAAGAAAGGAACGGAACTGCCAGAGCCGGGTGACCTCATAGACTTAGCGCTCAGTGCTCTAGATGGAGGCCAGGAGGAGCTGGAGAGAGGCCGGGTGGGACTGTGATGCCAATGAGGGCCCCCAGCTAGCACTGGATGAGGGGCAACCAGAGCATCGTTTTTCTAGAGACAGGGTCTCGCTCTGTCCCCCAGGCTAGAGTGCAGTGGCATCATCATAGCTCCCTGCAACCTCAAACTCCTGGGCTCCAGCGATCCTCCTGCCTCAGCCTCCCGAGTAGCTGGGACTACAGGAACAGGCCACCACACCAGCCAATTTTTCTAATTTTTGTAGAGACCGGGTCTCGCTCTTGCCCAGGCTGATCTCGAACACCTGGCCTCAGGGAATCCTCCCGCCGCGGCCTCCCAAAGTGCTGAGATTACAGGCGTGAGCCACCTTGCTTTGCCTCAGTGCATCTTTTTAAAAAATAAATTTTATTGCATATATTTCAGTTATAAACATGGTGTTATGAAATACATAAACATAGCAAAAATGAAGCTAATTGACATATCCATCATCTCATGGTTACCCATTTTCTTTTGTTTTTATGGCAAGAGCAGCTAAAATCTGCTCATTTAGCATGAATCCCAAATACAATACAACTCTATTAGCTGCGGTCTTCATGTTGAACATTAGATCTCTAGACTTGTTCATCCTACATATCTGCTACTTTGTGTCATCTGATCTTTTAAAAAAAATCCCTCTGGACTTTGTCATTGTGGAACACACATCTGGAAGTATGACTTCCCCAACTAGGTGAGATCCCTTTGTACACACTTGTTGTGTCCTGTGATTTTCCTACAGAGACCCCGTGACAATTCTCATTCTGTAGTTATTTTTGTTTGATTATCTGTTTAGTGTCTGTGTCCCCATGTGACTGTAAGATCCAAGAAGAGAGGGACCAGATCTCACTGCTGAATGCCCAGCGCCATTTCAGGGCCTGACCCCCTAATGACAGGAGGGAGGAAGGGAGAAAGGGAGGGAGGGAAGTTAGGAAAGAAAGGAAAGAAGTTAGGAATTGGGGCTGGACTCAAGTGAGGGTGGCACTGATGGCCGCAAGGGTCCCTGCTAAGTCAGGGACGCCCTAGTCCTGTAAACACCCATCATTCAGGAGTGGCGCCCTTTAGCGCCTGTGGAGAGGTCCCGGTGCTGAGTGGCGCGGCCTTCTCTCTTGCAGCCTGCCTGCAGCATCGGAGCTGCGACGCCTGCATGTCCTCGGACCTGACCTTCAACTGCAGCTGGTGCCATGTCCTCCAGAGGTTCGTGCCCAGGGTTCCCTGCTGGTTCCCAGTGGCAGATTGTGGAGGGACAGAGGGCGGCACGACCCTGCTCCTGGCCTCGGGCCTCATCACCCACAGTCTGCCAACATGAGGGTGTCTCTGGCCAGTGTCACTCTGACCCTTAGGACGAGAGTGTCACGGAAGTGAGTTTCTCCCTGAGGCTTACGGCTGACACAGGTGTCTGTGTGTCAGGGTGTGGCCTGTGGCCATACTAGGCTTCTGGAACACCATTCAGGGATTCCAGCTGCTGCAGCTCCTTCCTCACACCCAGGAAGGGTTGGTTCATCTTGGAACAGGGCTTGTCAAAGAGTGGTGCACAGCTGTGGGCACCCCACTCTTAAGGCAGAGCCCTGGGACCCCACACCCTCTGCATCAGGATCTCTGGGAGAGAACCCAGGAAGCTGCATTTTAACATAGTGCCTCATCTGCAAACGAGTGTGGAAACTGTCAGCTCAGAGACAGGATATAATCTGAAGACCCATGACCCCAAACCACTCCTCAAGATCTTTCTTGGGCTGCAAGAACATTTCCTGCAAACCAGGAATACGGACATTGCAGGCGTCTGTGGAAAGCTGGGGGCAGCTACGAAGCTATGTTTGCTTGGTTTTAGAAGCTCAGAAAATTCTGGGTAAGATTCAGTTTCAGGGATAGAGTTCTGAAATCCAACTCATCTTCCACGCCTTGTTCTGAAATCATTTCCTCACAGATTAGACTCAGAATTCAAGCTCTGTGCCCTGCCCAAGATAAATAAATAGCAGGAGGGGAAGAAAAAAGGATTTCTTTGGGGACTAGGACTCTCCTGAGAGTGGGAAGCCCTGTGAACTCCAAGAGACTTTAAGGCAATCTTGAAAATTGCAAAATTATAATCTGTGGGTTCCCAAGCAGCTGGCGTGCAACCGTCAGCATTTCCTTCACTCCTTCCCAATATCTCGCTGCAGAAATAGAAGCTCTCGCCTCGAACACAGGACGTGGCTCTGGGCCAGAAGGGGACTGGGTGGTGCTCCTCAGGCCTGTCAGGTGTTTTTCCCACCAGCTGTGCTTTTATTCAGTCTCTTGGAGCCTCAGTTTGTTTACCCTGTGTAATGGGCTGAGTTGATGTGATTCAGGGATATATCTGTGAGGAACACACCATAATTTAAAGTCCTCGAATACCAAATGACATTTTTACAAAGCATTTAGGGTCCTTCGCATAAAGGTACAGAGCCCAGAGAAAAATACACAGGGAGACCCCAAGTTGGTTCTTCCTGGAGTGGAGCTTTGCAGAGTAATCTCCAGACTGTGAGGCTCTAAGAATCGTCTGGAAGGCTTGTAAAAATGCAGATTCCTGGGCCCTGCACCAACCCACTGAATATGATCCTCTGGGACCAGGATCCCAGAAATCTGATTTTTGAAGTGATTCATCTTGTGTTCTTTCAAATTCGAGAACCACTGTCTCAGTGATAGGGAGGTGACCTCAGATGAGCCCTGAGATTGCAGAGCTGGCTGCCACGGCATGACTCAGCCTCCAACAAGAGCTGAGCCATGAGAACTGCAAAATGGGTCAGATGAAAGCAGAACCCTTGCATGGACACCACCCCCAGGGAATGCATACGCCCAAACTCAGAGACCATGACAGTTTAATGAGGGCTGGGCCCGCCTCCACATTAAGAGGTTGGTCGGGTTGGGGGAAGGGCAGGCCCTCTGTTTGTGGACTCTGCCTATTTTGTGGTCATGTCAGCAAAGAGAAACAGCATAGCACAGGGAAACTCCAACGGGGTGCAAGGCTGATGTGGACTGGAAACCATCCGGTCCCCAGACGCCCCGTGGGCCTGGGCTCACTCCAGCGCGTGCCCCTCCATGCCAGCTTTCTGGAGCCTCAGCTCCAACTGAGAGCTGACCCCAGGTCCCCAAAAAGCCAGAGGGCCAGGGCTGGTGCAAAGGGGCCAGCTGACATGGTCTCTCCCACCAACAGCTGCTGTCAATCCCCATGGGGTGCTCCGCTCCCCTCCCCTCCACCGCTCGGCCCTCTGCAGCCTCCCAGGATTCGCCCTCCTGCTCTAGGGCCGGATCTGATTTAAACAATTTCACTTACCACAGCAGGTGTCTTCCCTTCATCCCACCTTGCCCCACCATGGCCCACTCTGGAGTCTAAGGGCAACCTTAACTTCAGGATTGGGTCACGAACTGGGGGTCATAATCCTTGCCTTTCAGTGTCACTGGGAGGGGCCCGTGAGATGGTGCAGGGCAGCATGTGGCTGGGGCAGCACCTGGCATTCAGGAAGTGCTCAATAAATGACCATTTCTCATGTGCTTCTTGGAAGCTGAGTTGGTGGGCTCAAGGCTAGAATGTGGACCTCCACCAAAGACTCAATCCTTGAAAGACTCAGTTAGCTCTTATCAGTCTCTGGGAATATTAAAGAGAAAAACAAAAAAGAAGTGAGAAAAATCAGTTAGCTTGGTCTGAAAGAGACTTTAGTTCCCAGACTCCAACAGCCCTGCCCCAATCCTCCATCCCCCAAAGTGGTGGGCATGGGGGACCCGAGAGGAGAGCGTGGATGGCCCAGATCAGCCATCCCGGCTGCAGAAGGAGTGGCTTTGAGCACACCAGGGCATCTTTAGAAGGAAAGGCCGACAGTCCTCGGAGAGCCGTGGCCTCACCAGGTCTTGTGCGGCTGCTGGTGCAGAGTTAACTTGCTGAGAATGCGGCCTTAGCACCAGCGGCCCGTGATGTTTTCCACGCAGGTGTGCCTGGGCTGGGGCCGGGCTTGGCGGATTCCCCAGTGCCAAAGAGTGAGGGGTGGAAACATGGGCATAACATGTGGAGAACATTCTCTGGTTCATGCCCAGGCCCGCGCCGTTCCCCAGGGAAGCCAGGATGGCTGGCTTCCAGCCCAGCTGGGCTGCACAATGTCCTCTCTGGAGACCCTTGCGAACCAGTTTTTAATCTCTCCCAGCCTCTGCCCTTGAATGATCACACAAGGAAGTGTTAGCTAAATCTGCCCACTCTCCTTCCCACATCTAGGCCCCTCAATAACGATGGGGCGGATGTGCGAGGGAGCAAGCCTTTGTCCGGATGAGAACGTGTGTGTGAATGTCCTGGGTTCTCAGCAATGTCGTAGCAGCACAGCATCTGGGGGACCTTCAAGATCATTAGAGGTCGTGCGGTTGTGCCGGCCTCCTACCCACACACGCAGGCAGATGCGGCCATGGTCCTGGTCAGAAGGAGGCTGAGGGTGCCACAAATGCTTTCCCTCCTTCTGGGGAAGCAACAGAGGGGCAGGAGGGCCGAATCCTGGTTCCACAGTTGCCCGAGGTCAAGCCTCCTGCCGAGTAGTCTTTAGGGTCTTGGCCAGCCCAGCGCCCAGGAGCTTAGCCGCCCTCCTCCCTTTGTAACAGAGCTGTTGCCATGGGGGAAGTGAAAGGGGAGGACTTCTCTGTCGGTCCCATCACATCTCTCACCTTTTGGTCCCCCTGCAGATGCTCCAGTGGCTTTGACCGCTACCGCCAGGAGTGGCTGGCCTACGGCTGTGCCCAGGAGGTGAGAGGCATAAGTGATCTGCTGTAGCTCCTTTGCCAGGCGGAGGGGACACGGCACTGCTGGCAGGCCCTGCTCTGGCAGCTCGTCTCAAGGTGTCCTTAGCCCTTGGTGATATCCTCCCCTCCATCTGAGCTTTGTTTTCCAGATGGCTCTGAGCCAATTAAACCCGCTTCGGAAGGTTGTAGGGAGCTCTGTGGGTCCCTGAGACAAGCACTTACGATGACTTGGTCTTGAGTGGGCAGCCCTGGAGAAACTCCTTTGGTCCGTGCAGAGGGTACGTTGGGCACGGCCTCAGCCACAGCTGGATCCCCTGGGAGACTGTGCATCTGGTGACATTAATCAAGCACCGAGGATGCTTGCTTTTGAGGAGGCAGTCATTCTGGGGGTGAGGAGGGTTGCTCCAGGAACCTCCCATTTAGAATCCCATGTAGCAGTGGTCCCCAACCTTTTTGGTGCCAGGGACCAGTTTTATAGAAGACAATTTGTCCACAGATGGGGGTCAGGGGGCAGAGCTCAGGTGGTGATGCAAGTGATGGGGAGCGACTGTAAATACAGACAAAGCTTTGCTAGCTTGCCCGCCGCTCACCTCCTGCTGTGTGGGTCCCTGGTTCCTAAGTTTCGTGGAAGACAATTTTGCCATGGACCAGGGGAGTGGGGGAGGCAGCAGGGCTCTGCAGCCTGGTCCCTAACAAACCATGGAACAGTACCAGTCTGTGCCCTGGGGATTGGGGACCACAGCCATTTAGATTCCTTCTCACTGCTGGAATTTTCCAGAACACTCAACACTTTGGTTCTGGATGGGGAGCATCTTAGTCCCACACCTTAAGACTGGCACAGACAGACCCATTCACCCATGCGTCCTTTCCCCCTCCCTCTCTCTGTCTCTTCTGGCAATGCCAGCACACTGCACGTGCCAAGCATTCACCGAGGCTGCCCTGCCCCTGTTCTTCTTAACATAACTCCCAAAGCAGGGGCCAGCGCACCCATCGATCAGAGGGGGAAATTGAAGCCAAGAGAAGTTTAGTGACTTGGCCTGCATCTCACAGCCAGAAAGTGCTGGGCCCGGCGTTTAAATGTCAACTCTCCAGGCACCACTGCCCTGCACTCACCAGGGTCTGTTTTATGAGTCTGGGTCTGGGCGAGCTGTCTTTTTTGGCCTTCAAAAAGAAACCCTGTGCAGCAGCCCACTTCTGAAGTCGGCTGTTAGTGAATGTTCAGATCTGCTCTATTTGCTTAAGATTGACATCTCAGCTCCTTCCTTCCAGCTGACGGATAAATTGCCCTGAAAGATAAGAGCTTTCAGGACAGAGCGGAAGGTGTAGATGCATTAAGGGCGCAGCTCTGTCTGGGGCGGCAGCACCAAGGTCTGTCTTGCAGGCGGAGGGCAGGACGTGCGAGGAATTCCAGGATGACGACCACTACTCGGCCTCCCCTGACAGCTCCCTCGGCCCCTTTGATGAAGACCTGGCCACCACCAGCCCCTCCTCTCTTGTCATCGACAGCCTCACCACGGAAGGTAAGGCCTGAGCCCAGGTGTGGCGGAGGCCATGGGGAAAAGCCTCCGCTGGTGGCACTCACTGTCCCTGACACGGATAGTCTCATGGGATATGAACTGCCCCACCCTGGCACAGAGGAGGGACCTCCAGAAGCTCAGAGAGTTTAGGTCACTTGCTGGCGAGAAGCAGAGCCCGGTTTAGGCTGTGGGGATGCCACTCCCAGGCTCTCACCTCCGTGCTGGCCTGCACCAGGGCTGAGGGACAGAATTCACTGTGGAGAGGGGAAACATTAATGTCCCAGCCCAGTGCCAGGTATCTTATGGAACCTAACTCAGTGAAGCTTAACAGTAATCCTCAAGCGATCTTACCACCCCTGAGGCAGGTGTGAACTCAATCCGCACGCTGAGACGTGAGACAAAGATGGCCTGATCTTCCTATAGCTTCCCTTCCCTTCTGACTCGCCGGCCCTGCCGGGCTGGAGTGCTGGGGGATTCCACCTCAGACTGCCACGTGGCTCCCTGCTCCTGTGACCTTGTGCTGGCAGAGGGTCCTGGTAGGGCCACGGAGTCCTCCATCTCTGGTTGTTGCTGATCTGCCTACCTGTTCGGGCCTGGCTGTCCCCAGGGGCGTCTTTGCTACCTCGAGGCCTGGGGGTCTTGGTTGAAGCCACCGGAGGTCCATTCCCCTGGGGGCACCCGCCATGCAGTGTTTCAGGAAGCCCTGTGTGGCCTCCTCTCGTTTTAGGACCCTTAAGTCTCTTCCCTTTCTCCTGCCCCCTTCCAGAATTCTTCAGCTATGTCTGAGAAAGTCCTCTCTTACACTTTTTCAACACACTGCATCTAGGTTTGAAAGACTGAAAGGCTCACGGCCTCCCCTGAGCCGAATACCTGCTTGAAAGGAATAATGGAAGAAAGGAAAGGAGAGAAGAAAAAAGTTAATATTTTAAAACACTATTCAGCCACGATCCTTTTTTATAGATAATGAAACAGGCTCATAAGGTACAAAGTAGGTTACTCAGAGTTACATGAGGGGTAAGTGGTGGAATGTTCTTTCCACGGTGCTCCCTGCCTTTCTAAACATCGCCTAGAAAACTGGAGAACTAGAGCAGCGACCCACAGACCTGGCCAGAGGCAGGTCATGGAAGAGAATGAACTAATGCTGGAAAAAGCTAATGGAGGTGCTCGCTTCGGCAGCACATATACTAAAATTGGAACGATACAGAGAAGATTAGCATGGCCCCTGCGCAAGGATGACACGCAAATTCGTGAAGCGTTCCATATTTTTAGAATAAGTGGTTCTTCCAGAAGCTGCGGTTTTAAGCGTTTTTTGTTTTGGTCATTAAAAATATTTAAAAAAAAAAAAGCTAATGGAGGGCTGATCATGTGCCCTGTAGGGTACTAAAGTAGCACACAAATTAATATGCAGTCCTCATGGATGTCGATACTGTTATATCCCCATTTTATAGAGGAGACACTAAGGCTCAGAGAGGCAGATGACTTGCCCAGGGTCACACAGCCAGGAAGAGAAAGAGTCAGGTCTCATTGGCTCTGAAAGCAGTGATCTTCCCCCTTGACTCCATTGCCTTTCTTGGTGCCGAAAGGAATGGAAAAGGTCTGTGTGGATGCAAGGGCAGGGCAAAATAGCACGGGTGAGCAAGCCAGGGAGATTCTGACGGCTTCTAGCACTCTGAAGTCGCCTGGGAATAGCAAGGAGCTGGTTAAGACTCCGATACCGAGAGCAAAGCTTGTGCTGGTGCTGCAGGGGGTTAAAGGAAAAAGAAGCAGGCAGAGACCTTGCCCTTGGGGAGTTAATGATGGAGTCCAGGGATAACCCTCAGTCAAAGGAGACTCCGCTTAAAAGGAAGCGCGCCCTGCTTGGCCACCCTCAGTTAACCTCCTGTGCTTAGTGCGGCACGTTCTGAGCCCAGAGCGGGGCTGGGGACGCAGACACCTCCCACCCCACTCAGAAGTTTAGCCACAGAGTGTCAAGAGGCCAGAAGGGCGGCTGTGTTTGTCACCGTAATAGGTTTGTTTGCCCAATGCGCACAGCGAGTCAGGACGGCAGCTTGCAGCAGGGAAAGGGGTTTAATTGCAAGGCCACCGAATGAGGAAAGACACCTCAAATCCACCTCGCTGAGGAGTGTGGGGCCAGGGGTCTTAGGGGTTTGTCGAGGGCCAAGTGTGGAGGTCACTGACTGGCGGAAGCGTGCAGGGCGAAGTCGTGGGATCAGGAGCTGGAGAAACGTCATTCTCATGCTGACTCGGTTCTCTGTGGGGTCTCCACACTGGTTGGCATCAGCTCTTCCGCTGTAATCCAGGACCTGAAAAACATCTCAAGCGATTCGTAAGCAGAAGTCTTATGACTCTAACGTCATAAACCCTATCTATAGGAATGAGGGGGTGCAAATGATCAGTGTCTAGTGCTGCGTGACTTCCGGTTACAAGGAAGTAGGCCAAATTAATTGCAGCCTGGTTAATACTTAATTATAATGATATTTCTGTCCTGAATTCTTGTTAACCCTGTGAAGGTGGCTTCATGGTGGCCATGGAGAGCCGTGTTCAAATCCTGCCTTGTGATTACGGCCCCCCCAGAGGGTCCACTTGTGCCGTGTTACTGCTGTGGTGGCTGTCCCTGCACAGGCAGCGAATTCTGTTTGCCTGTTTTACTGTTTGGGTGTGGCACCTGCCAGCCCAGGAGTGGGTCTCACTTATGTTTACTGTGGAACAGTCCCCAGCAGAAAACCTTCATTAGAGTAAGTGAAGACAGTTATGGCTCTATGTCCTTCTGGTCCTGAAGGAGGTGGCAAAGATTATCAAGCTACATCTATAAGAAAAAAAAAAGGTTTAATGAGGACGTCCCCCCACGTGCCCAACTCTCAGGGCATCTTGGCAGAACAGATTTTAGTCACCCGGGAGCCTGTGCAGTTACAGCCTGCACAGGGAGACGTGCAGGCTCGGGACAGAATCTCTCCCGTACCTTCTACCTCGGGGTACAGGCCACCGCAGGGAGGTGTTGTGAACGGAGGGACGCAGCACCCCAGCCGGAGGGACCTGCCTGGGCAGGACAGAGTCAGAGAGCAGCCAGGGCCGTGGGGGCGGGATGGATTTAAGAGCCGCTCACTTGCAATCAAATGTTACAAACTTGAGTGAAGCAGATGAGCTGTGAGTGGCAAATAACTGTCGCGAAGCCCATGCATTTTGTTGCAAAGACAGGCACTCACCCGGAATAACTGTGTGCAGTTGAAGGGCTCATCTTATAAACAGGTCGACAGAACTCCTCGATAGCAGCAGGAAGTGACAACTAACTACGAAAAATGACCACTCATTCGCTGACTAGTACACACATTTCTTTACTATGTGAGTTTTTGTGCAGCTACACCATAATCCATTCATTAGGGAGCCAATGTGTACTACATGGTGCCCCAACAAGATGGCAGCTGGGAGCCAGCCCTTGGGGAGTGGCGGAGAGGCTGTGTGGGCACAGTGTGGCCACCTTTAGCCACTGTGTGGGAGGGACGATGGTTGGTGGCACTGTGTCCTTTTGTCTACCAGTGGTAAGTGTAGACTGGGCTACAATTGATTTTCAATTGATTCAAATCAAGTTAATTTTCCCAATGATATTTGAGGTTACCTTGGTCAGTTTTGACTACCCAATTCATTATTTTCAACTTGCAGTAACAAAATAGATTCGAAGTTTGTTTAAATACCTTGTTTATTGAAAAAAACATATCTTTATAAGTCTACAACTCTATTTTGTTTTAATTTCAATTTATAAGAATTGCTTTTTTTTTTTTTGACAGGATCTCACTCTGTCGCCCAGGCAGTGGCACAACCACAGCTCACTGCAAGGCCGGGCACGATGGCTCACACGTGTAATCCTAGCATGTGGGGAGGCTGCATTGGGAGGATCCCTTGAGACCAGGAGTTCAAGGCCATCCTGGGCAACATGTGGAGACCCCCATCTCTACACAGCTCACTGCAGCCTAGAACTCCTGGGCTAAGTGATCCTCCTGCCTCGGCCTCCCAAGTAGCTAGACTACAGGTGCACACCACCATGCCCGGCTAATAGGAGTTGCTTTTTGTATTAGTCAGGGTTCTCCAGAGAGATAGAACCAACAGGAAATATATAGAGATATGTGAGACGGGGTTTATTAGGGGTATTGGCTCATGCAATTATGGAGGCCGAGAGGTCCTATGACAGGCAATCTGCATGTGATAGCCCCTGGATGCTGGTAGCTGGTTCAGTCCCAGTCCTGAGGCCAGAGAACCCAGGGCTGGAGGAGGGGGTGCTGGTATGAGTCACAGAGTCCCATGACCAGAGAGCCTGGGGTCCTGATGTCCAAGGGCAGGAGCAGCAGAGTGTATCTCAGCTTTAGGAGAGAGAGCGAGAGCGCACAATTGACTTCCCTCTGTGTTTGTTCTATCCGGTACCCAGCTGACTGGATGGTGCCTGCCCACACTGAGGGCGGATTTTCCCCACTTAACACACGCCAGTCTCCTCTGAAAACGCCCTCCCAGACACACCCAAAACAACGCTTCACCAGTTCTCTAGAGATTCCTTAATGCAATCGAGTCAGCACTCAAAAAATTAACCATCACATTTTTAAAAATTTTTTAAAATAATTAAATGATATGACTGCTATGATTTCAAAGTCAAATCTACAAAAGCAGGTATATGCAAAGAATTTTAGTTTCTCATCCTCTCCTCTCCACCTTATTTCCTTCTTCTGCTATAGGGAACCATTTTTAAATTTTCTTATGGTTTATTCTTTCATCATCTATATTTTGGTATTTCGAGATGTACTGGAACTGTACAGCAGGGCAGGCTGCCCTGTCCTGGCGCGGGGAGACTAAATAGGTTGGGCGTTAAGGAGCAGGGAAACAGCAGGAACCGAGAAGCTGCAGGAACAGAGAGCAAGGCCAGGGGGGCACAGAGGGGACACAACCATCGGCCCTCAGTTCTGGGGCAAGACAAGGGAGGTGCTCAACTCAGGTGAAAAATTTAAGGAGGTGCAAAAAAAAAAGGATTAATCAAGTGATATTTTAATGCAATATTTGTACAAATCAAAATTAATGCCCCAAATCCCATGATAACAAAATTTCAAAATTTTAAATAAAGATAGAATGGGACCCTCATCCCAGCCCTGTGGAGGGTTCCTAGGGGTGGGACTTGGGAAGGAGGAACAGTGTGGGGAGGAAAAGCATGCCTGTGCAGGGGGAACAGTCACAGGCAGTGGCTCAGAGGTGTGGAAGCCCAGGGGGTCTGGAGAGCCTTGAGCAGCTTATTCCTGCCGTGGCCACGGTGTTGCGTTCTGGCGAGTGACCGGAGGCCAGAAGACTGGAGACACATTGCGAGGGTGCTGGACCACCTGTGAACAAAGGCGAGCGGTCAAGGCCTTTAGAATGACCTGGATGGTGGAGGGGCTAGAGGGCGGAGGAAGGGAATGCCATAAATTGTGGGTGGGTACATTTGTTTAAAGTTCAGGTGCTTAGAATAACATTCTCCCGTCATCTAGAGCATTCTCTTGACAGAGAACTCTTGCTTTCCTTCCCCCATACAAGTCTGCCAGGGAAGGAAGCGCAGGAAGGGTGGCCGTTGGAACTTATTTAGGAAGCCACAGGGTGCGTGCCCAGCAGAGACAAAGTGGGCTGGGAATCTTCCCTGCAGCTGCAGCCCCGGGGAGTCTGCAAGCTATTCTGATCTTGTGACACACACAGCCCTGCTTCCAACCCTTCCTCGGCTTTCTATCGCCTCTTAGAAGAACATGCGAGGTTCTCCACGAGGCTGTCCCCCACCCTGCAACCCCGTCTCCTCCCTCACCACCCCTCACTCACATCCTCTCCACCCTCCAGCTACACTGTGTGACTCAGAGCAAGGCTCCTCCCCTCTCTGTGCTTCAGTTTCCTTGCCTCTAAAATGACCGTTTGGACCAAACCTCCCAAAATTCCCATTGGGACCCAGAGTGACAAAGGCCATGATGATTCCACTAATCTTGCTCCTCTGTCCTCTCTCTTTGAAGATGACACCAAGTTGAATCCCTATGCAGGAGGAGATGGTGAGTACAGAACTGCCTGTCCTCCATCAGACCCACTGCCTCTTGAGCCCACCCCAGACAGGGGTGCAGTGGTGGCCTGGCCTCTTTTTGTGGGTGAGGGGAGGGAGCACCCTCAGCCTGAGCTTCCCAGACCTCCTGCTCAGGGGGAAGGCAGGCGGGCTCCTGGGCACGGGTTCCCTAGATTGAAGGAACATGTCTGCACCTAGACATTTCTCCTCGCAGCCGTCAACCTCCTGGGGTTCTTTTCCTGGCCTCTCTGCTCTTGAACTTCCACTGCCATGAAGACTGGGAGGAGGGGGAAGGGCTGAGCCTGGGCAGGGGGGGCGGTGGGGGCTCTGGCCATCGCCCTCCCCAGGGCTCACGTCCTCTCATCCCCTGGGCTCACAGGCAATGCGGGCTGGAGAGCAGCTTCTCTCACTTCGCTTCCTTCCGTTCCCAGCCCGGGCTGGCAGAGAGTATGCAAAAGTTATCCACAACAGTTCTTGCGGAAGGCAGGATTCCCCCCAGCTTCCCAGGATTATCTAGAAGGATAATCTCCTCTCTGAGGTGTGAGGGGCCCCCACCACCCCTACCCTTTGCCCAGAGCCAGCTCAGGCCTTCGGGGCTGCAACCCTACAAGAGTGGAGATAGAAATGCCTTCCAACCCCAGAGGCTGGGGATTGTCATCTGGGCTTCCAGCAGGAGAGGGGAGGTTATTAATGCAGCACAGTTGGATTGAGTCTCCCAGCAGAGAGGGAGCCAGTGCTCCTCTGTAGGTGGTGGGTTTACGTGTGTGTGTGTGTGTGTGTGTGTGTGTGTGTGTGTGTGTGAGGGGGTGGCCATTCCCCTCACTCTGCACTGCATGCTCGTCAGCCATCAGCGTCACTGCAGGCTGCAGTGATTGCCAGTCGGGGAGGCTGGCTTGGGGCATTTCACCTCAGCCCTCCCACCTGTTAGCAGATGGAGGCACTGGCCATGCACTGGAGAGTCCTGGATAGTCCCTGTCCTGGGTGTCCTCTGCTTACAGAGCTCTAAGCAGAGAAAAGAGGACAATGATTTTGAATGCATACAATATACTATTAAAAATCTCCACCCTCTGTTGACGCTCATCCCACCCAGTAGCTATGTAAAAAGGATTCGATGTTTTTTTTTTTTTTAGAGACGGGCTCTCGCTCTGTCACCCAGGCTGCTAGAGTGCAGTGGTGCGATCATAGCTCATTGTAACTTCGAACTCCTGGGCTCAAGTGATCCTCCCACCTCAGCCTTCTGAGTAGCTTGGACTACAGGCATGAGACACCATAACCGGCTAATATTTTAAATTTTTTTTTTAGAGATGAGGGTCTTGCTATGTTGCCCAGGCTGGTCTTGAACTCCTTGCCTCAAGCGATCTTCCCACCTTGGCCTCCCAAAGCATTCGGGTTACAAGCATGAGCCACTGCACCCAGTTGGATTGAGTATTTCTGTTGTTGACCTGCTTATCTGTCTTCTCTACCTTATTGTCCCCACACTCCCTTAGGGTAGGGTGAAGGAGCAAACAGCCACCCCAGGTAATGTCAGGGAACGAGGCTTCTTAGTGGCTGGCACTGAATTTGTGTGTCTATGGGCAAATCACTTAACCTCTCTGTACTTCCTCCATGACCTCAGTTATACAAGAAAGCGGTTGGACTAGAGGTGCTTCCGGCTCCACAATCTCTGGAAAATACTCCACCTCCTCCTTGGGATGTATCTGAAATTCCTGGGATGTTCTCAGGGAGTGTCTGCCGGTTTATTCGCTTCCAGAGGACCTAGTTCATTCCATAGACTTTTATGGAGCTCCTACGATGGATCCACCATTTTTTCTAAGAGCTGAGGACACAGAGATGAATAACACACTGTGTCTGCCCTGCAGGAGGTCACAGTCTGATAGTAGACAGTGACAAGAAAAAATACGGTCATTTGCTATCATAATAGCTAATACTTACTGAGGTCATCCAAGATGCCAGACATGTTCCTCAGAGCTTGACATGAATTATCTCATTATTATCCTTGTTCTACAGAAGCAATAATGAAGACACAGAGAGGTTAAATAATTTATCCAAGGTCACATGGCCAGTAAGTGGCAGAGTACAGATTTCGAACCAGGCAGCCAGATTCCACATCCCAAACTCTTAACCGTCACGTGCCCTTTGTGAATACATTCACAGGGCTTAGGTGACACAGGTATCAGAGAGAACTTCTCTTATGATCCTCATTGGATCTTGGGCACCTTTTTTTTTTTTTTTTTTGAGACAGAGTCTCACTCTGTTGCCCTGGCTAGAGTGAGTGCCGTGGCATCAGCCTAGCTCACAGCAACCTCAAACTCCTGGGCTCAAGCGATCCTCCTGCCTCAGCCTCCCGAGCAGCTGGGACCACAGGCATGCACCACCATGCCTGGCTAATTTTTTCTATATATTTTTAGTTGTCCGATTAATTTCTTTCTATTTTTAGTAGAGACGGGGTCTCGCTCTTGCTCAGGCTGGTTTTGAACTCCTGAGCTCAAACAATCCGCCTGCCTTAGCCTCCCAGAGAGCTAGGATTACAGGCGTGAGCCACCGTGCCCGGCCTTGGGCACCTTTTAAGTGATCTGGGAACACTACCCGAATGGTGCCAAGGGCAACGTTAAGGCCATACTCGTAATGATTCTACCACCTCCTGTGTCACCTTGTCATGTATTTGATAAGTAGACCCAAGACCGTCGGCTTTCATCTCTGGGACTTTGTCAGAAGCCAGGGCTCCGTGGCCTGACTGTCCCTGCTCCCCTGCAGCCCATCACTGCCGTAATGGTCTCTCCACAGGCCTTCAGAACAACCTGTCCCCCAAGACAAAGGGAGCCCCCATGCACCTGGGCGCCATCGTGGGCATCGTGCTAGCGGTCCTCCTGGTGGCAGCCATCATCCTGGCTGGGATTTACATCAGCGGCCACCCTACCTCCAATGCCGCCCTCTTCTTCATTGAGGTCAGTGTAGCCACAGGTCTGCCATCTGCTTCAGCCTCAGCGTTTCCAGGGCCATTTAATACCTGCCTCTCCCGTCTCGTCCCTCACCTGCCACATACCTGAGAGACCTCCATCGACTCCATCCTGGCACATCTGGTGGTGGCTGGTGCCCTTTAAGCACCTCAGAACCCCCTCGGCCCTGCTGTCCTTGGGGAGCAGCCTGTCTGCTTTTGTTCCCCCATCTGTGAAATCAGAAAAGTCCCCAGAGGAAAGAAAGAAGGCCACACGTGCCACACAGGGCCCATTTAGTGGCTGGGCAGCCAATCCCCAATGACTTAACATCTCTCTTGCCCAAATTCCAGGCTCGGTACTTATTCCAAGCCGTAATGGAACCAAGGTCCCTGCTGCTTTTAGGCGGGTGTGGGGTCTTAGATGAAAGCTGACAAGCCACAGTGATGAGAGGGCTGCTCGCTCCGGGAGCTGCATGAGGATGCGCAGTTCGAACGTCTCGGACTCCTGAGGAGCAGCCTGAGGCGCAGCATGGGACATGGGACGGAGGACTCAGCCCCTTCACTGGGGGGCGCAGGGCTCAGCAGCTCCTGCCCCCAGCCTCCACTCTCCGCTTCTTGCCAGCTCTCCACTGGGCACGGTGGCACCTCTGTGACCTTAGTCTCCTCCACACGGGTCAGGTCCCCCTGAGTTTGACGACTCCCTGTTTCTCATCCGTCCTGGCCAGTCATTCTGAAGTCTTAGCCTACCTAGGTGACACCTGGGAACTGCAGATTCCCAGGCCACAGGCTTTCTGATGGGGCAGGTCTAAGGTGGGCCCAGGAATCTGCATTTTCTAAGCCCCCCAGTTCACTCTGATGCAGGACCTGTGCTATCTGGAGGGTTACCTTGGCATTGCCCGAGCCTTCCAGATCATCCCAGCTGTCCCTGACCCACTCCCTCACCCTGCACAGTCTCAGGTCTCCACTCAGTGTGTTGCTGAAGCTTTTTGCTGTGAGTTCTGCAGACCACACAGGGGAGGAGAAAATGTCCTCCTCGCAGACTCTGGCTCCCAGCAGGTTTCCCAGTGGTCGTGGGGTCACAGTGGGAGCCTTTTGGGGACAGGGGCCCTGAAGGTCAGTCATTCAGCTCCTGGTAGGTCCCTAGGGCCCTGGTAAGAGAGTCTTGGTGCTGTCCCTGGGTGGGGAGAGTCCCCATGGTTGGGGTCAGGCCCACTGACTTTGCCTCTGTGCCCCCCCCCCCCACAGCGGAGACCTCACCACTGGCCGGCCATGAAGTTCCGCAACCACCCCAGCCACTCCACCTACACGGAGGTCGAGCCCTCGGGCAGAGAGAAGGAAGGCTTCGTGGAGGCCGAGCAGTGCTGAGATGCCAGGTCTCCCCTTCGAAGGGTAGGAGAGAAGACGCGGGGGCCGCAGAAGAGATAGTTAAAGCAAAGAGAAGTGACTTTTCCTGGCCTCTCCGAGCATGCCCTGGGCCCAGAAGATGAGAGGGCGGTTTATGGCCCCAGAGCCGCCGCTCAGTCATCACGCCCCAGACACTGAAGAGGGGGCAGGAAGGCAACCACATGGAGTTTCTGAAGGACGATAGCCGAATCTCATCCTGTTTTGATGCAAGGGTTCTCCCCTTCCAGGCCTCGCAGCGATCTACTCCGTAGCTGTCCCTGAGCCCCTTCCCCACCTGGAGATGGCCAGATGCCCTGCTTCCGGTCACCTAAGCCCCTGCATATGACACCAGCTAGCTAGAGTCTAGATTGGGGCTGTGCATTCCAGGATCCATAGACTCAGGGGCTGGTCCTCATGGCTATGGAGTCGGTGCATTTAGCCCCTGCTTCTGTGGCTCCGGAAGTCTGAAGTTCTCTCCATCGGTTAGACGCGGGTGTGGCTGCTCTCAGCCCTTGGGGCATGTTGTCGTGGCAGGAAAGCCAAATAAGAGGAGAGAAAAGAACTTGTGGGGTAAATTGCATTTTTAGGCTTCACTCCCTTAGCCTGCCCTTTCTGCTCAGAACCAATCCTTCTGCAACCTGCCTGGGGGCTCTACCCGAACCCGCGGCCGTCCTCCCCCAGGCAAGCCGTGCTGTGCGCGGCCACACGCACCACGTGCGGCGCCCCATCCCAACGGCGTGTTCAGTGCCCGTTTTATTCACTGGCCTGTTCTGCCGTCAGTGCCGGCACGTACCTCCAAAGGCAGGGCTTGCCTGATTTATTTTCCCTCCTCTGGACTGGATTTTTATAGCCATTAAATACAAATAAGGTGGCCAGAGGGCTCCCGAGACAAACCCAGCAGGGAACTTCAGTTGGATTCTGTGGAGAAGCAAAGCGCCAGAATGGCTGGGACAGAGGCAGCTGGCATGGGAGGGAGGGACTTTCTGCACAAGACCTTGACCTGGAAAGTTGCCGCCACGTCCCCGGCTCTGCGAGAAGTTTTTGGGACGGGGAGTTTAGGCTCCCAGACTTAACCTGGCTTTAAGGGAGGTCCGTCCCAGTGATGAGTTGGGGCTGCTTCTGAAGGGCATTTAAAATTAAAATCTATAGCTCACCCTCATTCGAAATAAAAAGTATCAGCAGCAAATAAATGTTAAATCACAGTCTCTACTTAGTCATGCCCTTTGATGCATGTCACGGGGACCCTGCAAAAGAAGTCGGTTTAAGTACAAGGCAATCCAGTGGACGGTTGGGCAGTCTGCAAACAACTAGACCCATCCAAACACTGGTCGATGGTTTTCCAGTTGCCCCATGGTTTAATGTTGGTGAGGATCCCGGTGACAGAGTCAGAAACACGCTGGGCCTCGGCTCTGCTTCCTAAACCAGCCGAGGAAGAGCTGGGGGCGTGGGGCGCCGTGGGAAGGAGCATCAGAGTTTGAGAAAGAAAAAAGCACAGCAAAGAGAGGCAGGTTCTCCACACGTCTGAGGACAGGAAGGTCTGTAACAGGGCTCTCTGAGCGAGAGAAGCGCAGCCCATGCCGGGAGCGACCTGGGCTCCCAGCCCTCCTGCCCATCCGGAGGGAGATTTCTGCTCTTGCCTGACCAGCAAAGCATCTGTGACCTTTATGTGTCTAAAATGGCCAGTGGGGCAGTTCCTTGGTGGCCTAATTCAGTGGACAGCACCATTTGCCCCGCTCCCAAACCCCGGCACGCTTTTCCCCACTGGGAACTCAGCCGACCATTATAGATTCACGAAGAAGAGAATATTGGGAGTGGAGAGAGAGGTAGTGATGCAGGGAGGCCTCTGCTGCTAACTGCTGCAGGTGGAGAAAGAAAGTTCCAGATGCTTCGGCCCTGGTCAGAGCAAGCCTGGTGGAGCCCTGGGTTGTCAGCGGCACGAGGAGTGGAGGTGTTCGGTAGTGGGCAGCCTGTTTGTTACAACAGAAGGAACCAACGATGTGTCACCAAGAGAGGCCCCGGACTTCTCAAGCCCCAAAACGTAGACTAAGTCTCCTAAGAAATAGAGCCGAGAGTCTCTCAGAGTTCATGCCGGTCCCCGGCTGTCCTTAGGATACCTGGCAAGACAAACATTTCTTAGACCTAGGAGTTCCACGCCAAGGTTTAGAGCGGGTTAGCTGGATAACTGTGGAGAGTGACTGGCTTCACGAGTGAGTGACCAGATAGAGACTTGGGTCTTGCGGCCGGCCCTCTGAGTGTGGCTCCAGTTTAGCAAGGCAAGGTGGCACTTCACATGCCAGGCACTACCAGTCCCAGGGCGGTTGCAAACTTCCAGGCCTCTCCTCCCCATAGGCATATACAGCTCCAGAGAAAGCAGGTGGTTGGCAGGTGCTTCCCCACGTGACATTGGGTGTCCTTGCAGGGGAAGGGGGTCCATGCAAGTCCAACAGGAAGCTTCAACCTGTGAAAGAGGACTCTGGGGAGTTTTCTGTGTTGAACAGAGAGATCGGGAAGGCTCTGTTATCCACCAGAACTCTGAAGAGAGCTAACAAAAACACGGGAATGTGAACGCAGAGGCTGAGTATGACAGGGGGTCGCCTGTAAGCACAACCTCCTGCTCCTATAATTGGTCACTCCTAGATCTGTGGACTTATCCAGTAAGGTTCCTGGGGTTTCTGACTCTAGACACAAGTGCATGTGAGCCCAGCCATCAACCCCAACATGCAGGAATGCACCGGGTAGAGCAGATGGGCTTTCCAAGCTTGACTGGCTGGCTACCTCCCTCGGCTATAATCTGGTGTCACCTACTCACCCCAGCAGGCCCTGCCACTCTGGAGGTCACTTCGGATCTCAGCCTGGAGCCTGAGGTTGCAAACATCTTTCGGTCACTATTAGAGGTTCTTGATGGACCTAAAAAAACAAATTTTTAAAATTTGTGTGTTTTATCAAGGCTGCCCTGTATAGTCTATCTGTGTGTGTGTGTGTGTGTGTGTGTATACACCCAGACACACACACAGGTATTTTATTGCTAAAAACATCGGACAATGCTGGAGCTGTGCTCAGCCTTTAGCTTGGTTTATTAAATTAGGACAATGGCAAACACTGCCAGCCAACCACACTATTCAAAAAGCAGAATATCCGGGGCTGGGCGCGGTGGCTCACGCCTGTAATCCTAGCTCTCTGGGAGGCCGAGGAGGCCGGATTGTTTGAGCTCAGGAGTTCGAAACCAGCCTGAGCAAGAGCGAGACCCCCGTCTCTACTAAAAATAGAAAGAAATTGGCTGGACAGCTAAAAACTTATAGAAAAAATTAGCCGGGCATGGTGGCGCATGCCTGTAGTCCCAGCTACTCGGGAGGCTGAGGCAGGAGGATCGCTTGAGCCCAAGAGTTTGAGGTTGCTGTGAGCTAGGCTGACACCACGGCACTCTAGCCTGGGCAACACAGTGAGACTCTGTTTCAAAAAAAAAAAAAAAAAAAGCAGAGTATCCACCATTTGAGCCGACCATTCATCTGGTTGTGAGCAAGGCTGAGACTTTCTTTTTTCTCCTGGTCCTGGAACAGACTCACAGATTGGCACTGATCAGGGCTGCACCCAGACTCCCTGGCCGTGAGAACCGACGCCAATAGAGTCAACATCACAGATAAAATGCAGCCAGTGTCTCTCTCTCTCTCTCTCTCTCTCTCTCTCAGCTAAAACCTACCTGAACTCACAGCACAGTCAGAAGGATCTGGGGACTGAAGGTCCCCTCCCTGTCCTAAACACAGTGCATTCACATATTTAGTGTGAATTCTCTGCCTGGATCCTCAGCATTAATAATAAAAGGAAACATTCTTTTACAACTTCTGCTATGTGCAAAATAAAGTACAAAGGATCTGGGGTAGCATTCTGCAAATCCACACACACACCTTAATCCTGACCCCGGATCTCGGACACCTACATTAGGACCAGCCTTGGGAGTGTAGGAAGAGCCTCCAGTTATGTTTTTCCCAACCTCCCGCCCCACCTCCAAGAGCAACAGCCTGGAAAGAAACCTCAGCTGTTTACTTGTATTGGGTTTGCAAATCCCTGGCAGTAAACCTCATGCATTTTTAATCTACTATCTGGAGATACCAAATAAATCTGAGTAAGTCGATGCTCTCACATTTCTGGATGCTTTGCATTCGGACAACTTTAGCAGCGTCATTGTGTTTTTATTACTTTGTGTTTTTGCTCACAAAACATGGTTTAGCAAACCAAAACAAAGAAAGGAAAAATTTGAACGCCTCCTAGCCAAAATCAGCAATGCCAAATCTCAGGCTCCAAACAAGCCAATTTATAAATAAATACGCTGTGATTGCCAAATCGAGAGGAATGTGTTGGAAAAGACAGTGTGGATGGATGGAGAAGGGTCTGAGCTGCATGGGGAGTCAGAAGGTGGGAGTGTGGACCTCAGCCCTCCCTCTGAATCGCTGTGTGATGTGGACCAGGTCACTGGACTTCTCTGGGCCTCTTTCAGCCTCTGTGAAATAGGAAATACTAGATTAATTGGTCTAAGGTAGGACCTTAGCAAACAGCTTTCTCTGTTTTTGTTCAGCTCACGCAGCAACTTAGACAAAAGCATCCCTTTCTCTTTCATTATCCTGATTCTTTGGGACTTTTCTGGTTCTACCACTGGAAGTCCAGCATCCTAGGAATCTGCTCAAGCCCGGGCACCATGGGACATTTTGTCACCCCATTTTTGGAGCTGCCCTCCCACTCCATTGGCTAAAGAAATAATGTTAACGCTGTCAAGCATCTGGAGAGCACTTTGGAGACTAGAACCTTGCTACTCAAAGTGTGGGCAGATAAGCATTAGCATCCCCTGGGGTTGGTTGGAAATGCAGAACTCAGGCCCACCCACCGCAGGTCAGAATCTACCTTTGAGCAGCTCCCCAGGTGATCCAGGTGACATGCATGACAGTTTGAGAAGCACTGCCGAGGAGACAAGTCTACCTACAGGATGGCAG